AGCCCTAAATGAAAGAATTCCAGCAATTAATACAGCTTAGCTTCTTAACGGGGATGTCTACATCCAACTTGTGTCTGTTTTAATTTATTATTTCTAACAGAGAGATGTTTTGAAGACTTCCATGAACTTATTCCCTCTAACCTACAGAATCATGGTTGATGACTAGAAGTTATTGGGCATGTATTAATTGCTTCCACCATCCACTATTCATCTCATTTAGCCTTCGCAACAGTCCTCTGAGGTATTAGTAATATCCTTATTTTATACCCAAGGAAACTTGCCCAAGGTCATGTAACTAGTAAGCAATGAAGATGGGAATCTTCCTGGTCTGATTCCAAAACTAAACCATTAAACATTCTCCACCTTCTCCCCAAACACCTTATTCTGACTCCCAGTAGCTGTATTTGGTTCACACTGTTTATCCACCCTGATTTTCCACTGGTTATTGTCCTATATTAACTTATTTCAGATGAGGCAATCAGTTCACTATCCTCTGAATGTTTCTCATATATTCTTCATATAATATGATAATTTTCTTAGTTTTTCTCAACTTTAGTTTCCTCTTCAGTAAAAAAAAAAAAGTATACTACTACTACTTACTTCATAAGGCTCTTGTGAGAGTTAGATGAGAAAACCTTGCATAAAGTATAGACCAGGCACATAGTAAGCTTTCAGTTATTAGCTGTCATCATCCTCACAATTACTGTTTACATATTCTAGTAATAATTTATAAAGGGGGAATTTTATTATATTTTAGAAATGTATAATAAAAAAGCACCATACAAATTCACATTTGAACCTGGCAGGTGTTCATAAATACATTGTAATACTATTGTGAAGGGGATCCATGAATGTAGATCCACTGAGTTATTGCTAGGCTACCTTGCAAAGGTGCCTTCTACAAAAATTCCTTTGACTTTCACTTATTTAAATTAGCCTACATTAAAAGACTGCTCTGTTACGTTTATTGCTTAAGGTAGTATTAGTGCAACTTAGTAGATTCAAATATTCTGCACAGAATTTTAACTAAAAACTAAATTTCAAGATAATTTGGCACTTGGTTTTAAGGAAAATGAAAACAAATTGATGAATCTTAACATTATAAAAATAAATGGCAAAGGTATCGGAATCATTAGAAAAATGTTTAGTAAACATGTATTCTGAATTAAAGACTGTAAAGGACTTATTTTAAACATTTTGTTTTCTTTAAAGAAACCTAGTCTTTGGGGTAAAATGAAAGAAAAAAACCAGTAACTTAGTAGAAGTTTACATTCTTGGATCTTTTATATTTTCTCCATTAGGAGGCTTAAAGCATGAAACATTAACTTACAAATAAAAGGAAACACAAAGATACATCAAGTAGTTACAAAAAGCAATGGAGCAAGATGTTGAGGTAAAATTGGCTGGAGACTGATGTCGGAAGGATCAAAAGCAGAAAGATTCGGGCCTCAGAAAGTGCAATCAGAGACCGTCAAATTTCACTGATATCTCAATGCAGCGTGCAGATTGATGGATGCTACCAACGATATATCAATGGAAATGTCTTTGGCAATACTGGATATGTTTTTATCAGTGTAAGGGAGGATGTCTGTAAAGATTGATACATTTTGTAGTCTTCTCTCATTGTTCATAAGTGCTTCTGATCATCAGTTACAGGGCCTGTGCCTCGTTCCCTTTGTGACTTCTATTTGGAAATGGTATATGAGCATGGTTTACCTGCTTTTCCACCTATTTGCCATGCCTCATGGTTTCAGGTTATACTATAGGAAGTGTGTGAGTGTGTGTGCACGTGAATGTGTGTTTACGCACATGTACATGATATGTGCACGCATGTGCATTTTTTCTTGTTCTTACTGGAGTCATTGCCTGCAATTTTTGGTTTCCATGCAGGTGACCAAATAGCCTATTGTCAGATATATGCAAAATACATTATTAGCAACAAAAGATAGATTTTTAGGTCACTCATGTGCTATATATGCTGGAAAAGACTATCTATGATACCCGTGTGCCATAAAATACCAAGAATATAATATGTTCATCTATGTGCTTAACTGTGATACAAAATAAGAAAGCACTTTCAAGTCTTTTTTTTTTTTTAAA